ATTCACGAAGGAACAGGATATTTCTAGAAAACGTGGCGTGACACTAGTCACGTGACTTCGCTGACGCAACAATATGTTTTGGTAAGACGTATCATTTAGCGAATTCTCTTGTCCTTTTATGTATTATATCTTTATATATATATATGTATTGTCTAACGATCTGTATAAAATTACAAGTAATTTAATAATTCAATTCCTGAGTATTTTTCCCTTAATAATGATATGTTTAGGTAAGACGTATCATTTAGCGAATTCTCTTGTCCTTTTATGTATTATATCTTTATATATATATTGTCTAACGACATTTTGTAAGTACAACAAGTTCATCAAAATAAGTAAAATAAAAACAGCCTTTAAAAAATATATATATAAGTTCTTAGAGGGCAGTATTATTCTTATTGGTTAGTTGTATCCAGTGTTTTCAGTATACGTTAACAAACAAGAAATTGTTTTGGTTTTAGGAAAGTTGAATTATTAACCTACCGCCGTGTTATAACACAGTTAATGGAGAAATGGTGTTAAGAACATTTTTTCGGTAAGTACTAATTTTAATTTTTTGTTACGAAGGTAAGCTTAATTAATTATATTTGTCATAAGACATTAATATTACCATATTTATGACATTAGTTATTACTATTACTTCTGTGCTAGTGTTACTAATAGTAATACTAGTACTAGTAGTGTGACTGTTAGCGTTACTAAATACTACTGTTAGTTACATTGTAAATGTTAGCAACTCACTGAGTCACTGTTAAATATTAACTATTAGCCTTAATTAGTCTGTTATTGACATACCTTGAAAGCTTACCTTTAAACAAACCACATGGTCTTCAAGTAGTTGTACTTAAATTTTAAAAGTAACACTATTACTATTACTAGTAATAGTATTAGAAATTCCACAGCCTACTGGAATCAAAGAGGGACACTGGAACTTGAGTATGGAAGATGCTACCACATCCCCAGCCATTGAAAACATAATATGTACATTATACAATATCTTCAATTAGTATGATGTTCAATACCCCAAGTTTAGAATTTTCATTATGTTTGTGAAATTGGAATTAATCTACCATATTTTTGCTACTTTAAGCATTAACCTTAGGTGCATGGGTTGAAGTCAAAGTGTGCATGACCCAGCCTTGTACAGAGTGCCATTCAACATGGTATTATGCATTTGACATCAGAGTTATAAACATTTCATGTTACCCTATATTGCTGATTTTACAACATTTCATTTTACTATTGTTAGAGTAGAAAATTATCAGATACAATACACAAGGATACTGAAAAAATATTTAGATATGCACTTGGAAGGTTGTAGAGGTTATTCAAATGCAGTTTGCAAACTTTATAATGGATAAAAGTATTTTTATTCTTCACATGAACATCACCTTGCACTCCAACTTGTCAGAGTCTGGGCGAATTGACATCAGCATTTAATAGACATATCTAGAGTAACGTCTGATTTTTTAATGTACAACACATTTGTACTGCTGAATAAAAGATTGTCCTATTTTGTAAAAATAGACTTCATAAATTCAGAATTATAGTTAATATTACATCTCCATTAAGAGGTTGATCCATTGTCTGACCCCATGCACATTCAGTTAACTGCAAGTTCCTATTCTGTGAACATATATGTACCTATACTAAATGGAGTAGCAATGTTTTTAAACAGTTTTATCAACTTTTTCCAAGAATATGTGCAGTGTGTCTACTCATGGTGTCTTAAAATTATATGTATTAAAAATAATTTTAAATTTATTACATGTTAGATGTTTGAATGAAATACACTATGAAAGTTGCAATAATTGTTTTATCGTAATGTAAACTGTTTTCATTTTTATGAGATAATGAGGTACCATTTGGCCCACCTAAGCTATGCCATTTTTCACTATAGCCCTTCTCCAAACTATATATAGGAACTCATTTTTTATATCCAACTCTGGTTTATAAACACTCTTCCAATCTCCTCTTAATTCCTTCAGTGTTGTAGCATCTACCAGTATTACCACACCTAAAGGCAAACTATTCCATGAGTCAATATCCTATTAGAAAAGTGAAACTGTCTTCATTGAAGTCAAGTCTGAGTTTTTCATATCCTAAGCATGTGTCTTCTAACATTACTGCCAGCAACATTTTTGTTGAAAACATCATCATGGGTTTATGGATTCCGGTTCTTCAATTGTTCCCCTGAGCCTTTCTTCTATTCAATGAAAACCTGAAATCATTGTGGTAACTCTTCTCTGAACTCTTTCCTGCAAGTCATTATCATTTCTTAGAAGAAGTGGCCAGAACTGTACACAGTATTCCAAGTGAGACATAACTAGAGATTTTATGGACTTTGGACTTGTAATCAGTATGTCTATAAATGCATCCTGAAATTGTTGTTTCTACTACTAACGATAAAACACTGCCTTAGTGGCATGAATGACTTATCTAATTCTTTGTTATATTCAGGTAACACTGATTATGTGTAAAGCAGCGGGAAAGGTCTGCTTAATAACAGGTCGTATGACAAAATATCTGTTGCAGAATAATATTGTGTTTTTCTGAACACCTGGGTTCATGAGAATGAAATAAAGAATGGTTACAATGCAAAATACAAAAAGTGCAATACAACTACAGTGTATGTACTTGCTTTGGATGATGGACTGTTGCTTATACTGGATCAGAACTGTTCTCTTAAACTAGTCAGGATGAGATTATCTATTAGACTGTTGATGTGATTTGTTTTGCTAATCGTTTGTATGGCACCATTTGAAATGCTTTTTTAAAATGCAATTCCACACCTTTTTCTCATATACATAACAATTAACATTCTAAAAAGATGGATCACATTATATCTGTCTTTCAACTGTCCTTAAACCTGCCCAACTCCTGATTATTAAACAGCTGTCATTTATTGATAGGAGGTTTATTTTATCACAAAAGTTGTGTTTTGACACAATTTAAGTTGCCACATTATAGGTAAGGCACTCACTATGCATGATCGCATTTTCACCTAATGGAAATGAACTTATTACATGTCTTTAAATGCCTTATCTTTGCACAGCTCATTTCTCAATCTGTAAAGATTGTCAAACCAGGCTCTCCTGTTGGCATGACAATGAGCCATCCTGACACAGTCAGTGTGATTTGTTTTAACACACTTCGTGTTTCATTATGCAGAAATATTAAGCAATAATTGAAGTTTTAGTTGAAATAAATCAATGTTTTACCACACTTAGGTTATTACAAGTAAAACGTAATTATTGGTAAAAATTATTTGGTTTTAGTGTTTAGATTAAGGACTTGGACATGGAAATTCTACTTGAAGCATTACTTCACCAGAATGAGCTGCCACTAATACCAAGAGTTGTGTTTTGCATTCTGTGTTTGCTGAAGTTGTCTTCTATTTAGACAAGATATTTTAATCATATTATATTCAGAGATTCTTGAAACATCTTAATGTTATTTAAGTGTTATCTTGAGATTAGAAAATGCCACAATTGGATATGTTTGTTCTATGTTCACACACCAAGCTTTCAAGATGTATTTCTCTGTACCTGAAGTCAACCTCATGGAAATGTAGTTGTCGCGACTTGGGATTTGTTAACCTGTTACTATGCGAGTATCTACTACTGCTACTATTCCATGTTTTAAATAAATAAGATATTCAAATTCACGTATATATATATAATATACATAAGGCTAGTTTTTATAGCAGGCCCCCTATCTCTGCTACTATGGGGAAAACAATTGATAACTTCAAGCTGCTTATTATTCGTCAGTTAATATTTTGCAATATTAATGTTTTAGCTTCTTGGATTAATGTTATACAGTCTGCTCCTGACCAAGCTAACTACATAAGGCCAAATAAAAAATGTATGTATTGTTCTGGTTACCCAACTGACCCTAAGAAATCTATGCCGACTCTAGACAGTTTATTGTTCCTTTCAAATTAATATATAATAAACTGATCTGCAGTTTTAATAGAACAGGATTTGAAATTAAAGAAAAATTAAATTTAATTACTGGTGCCCATTTTTCTTATGTGGTACAATCTAAAATCATCACTCTGCTCTATTGGATGTTTTTAAAAATGTCCCTTTTTCAACTCTTCTTGCAAAACTGGGAAGAGTGCTTGATGCTCTTGAATTTCACTCCTCCAATATAAAGCAATGTAAAAATGACCATGGCAATTGCAAAAAATCAGTTTAAAACAAGATCTGATATCTTAATGTATTTACACTGGTGTATGAAGCAGTTGACAGCTAAAGTGTAAACATTTTCCTTGAATATTATCTCTGAAGGATTCTCCATTTCATCTTGCTGCTGTTACTTGTGCTGTTGAGCGCTGTTCAATATGCCCTCCATATTTGTTGCATTTTCACTGCTTGTATATACTCCTCTATACAGAAAGCTATAGTAAGTGGAGAGGGTGTTTGCTATTACTAGCAATTTCCTCCCTGTATGGAGCATGGTGGAAAAATAGTGAGGTTAAAGCCTCAAATAGTAAAGTTTGTTTTATTGATTCACCATCTATTTTAGCTTGTTTATATTCACAGGTTGTGTTGTCTTAAGTTATCAGTATCATTTTGTTATATTAACAAAGAAATGTAGCTTATTTCATTTTATTTATGTACCACTTTATTATTTATATTGTATGTACAAGAGGTATGTACACTCATTTCATTTGATTCATGTACCAATTTCATTTGTACTTTCATTTGATGGATAAATAGAGGTAATACTCTTTGTGACTACAGTTTTATTTTTAATAGTTATAAACAGCAGCTTTTAATACTAATATATCACACCAAAATTTAAATAATATGTCATCTCCCCCTGCCCCACCAAGGTTAATTTAGCAATAACATATAATATTATGGGTTTATTACATGCTAAGATATTTTCCTACCAACCTACCATATTTTGAAAATTGATGTAACAGGAACCACACATATATTTTTATTTGGCCTAAGTATATTTGTCACTTGTAACTTACTCAAGATGAAGTGGAAGTTCTTAAGGTACTACACCTTTCTCCAGTGGCCTTTGGAGGTTGAAGTGGCTTAAAATATCAGCTTCAACCTTCTATTTGTTAACAAAAAAGTTTGATTCATACTTTAAAGATACCAAGTCTGTTCTATATATGTTTTTTAAGTGGTTATAAGTGAAATACTACACTATTTTCAAGTATCTTCAGAGGCTTTTGTGTCTTATTTCATTTGTAGTCGCAGATTGTACCAGTTGGAATGTAAATTTTATATTGAAGGCTTTTTTGTGAAAATCACCTTCATTTTTAAAACTCCAACAAAACTACCTATAACTAAATGAAAACTAAGGAGTATCAAATAGATGATTATTGTGTATACTTGAATTTCCCGAACCATCAAACCTGTGAATAAATGGCAGCATAAAGAGAATGATTAAGTTTGTTTGTTGTTTTGATCTGGCCTTTGCAAAAAATTGATGTGAGTTGTGAATATGGAAATAAACAGTCTGTCAAAAACTTTAAAAGATGTGATGCTATTAGTGGCATACACACCACCGTAGAAGCTTTTGCATTGGCACAGACACCTTTGGCTCATCACACTGCCTACAGATATCTACCGAAAACACTGTTTTAACTAAGGCTTAGTAATTATAAACATTTACTTATTATTCTAGTTAAATATCAATAGAGAGCAGCAAATGTGGCAAAAATTATTTTTTCATGTTATAGGGCTCTTGACATGCTATGTATGCCAATAGAATTTTCCACAGGGAACACAAAACAAAGTAAATTATTCAGCAACTTGATATACAGAGTCATCTTCTTCAAGAATAGAAAAAGTACACATAATATATTTTATATAGTTCTGAAAGTAAAAGAGAGAGTATGCTAGAAAAGATGGCATTGAAGGTATAACCCCAGTCAAGAAGTCTAATGATAAAGTTTTGCTGGAAATTACTATGGTGAAAGCTAAGAAGAGGGAAAGTATAGTGATCTGCGGACATAGCAGTAAAATTAGCCTGATTTACACAGTTATCCGGCTGACTACATGATAGTATACATCATCATGTAATTGGAGAATCAGTAGTTCTAGTAGGCTCCTGAGATCCTGTAATTACAGCAGTATATGAGTAAATATATCATATAGATATATTATACATATATATGTATATACACATACATTTTCTATGATATTTCAAGAAGGAAAGTAAGAAGGTTATCACAGTGCAGTTGTAAAGTAATGTGTGTCTAACAACATGTGTAGGTGATGTCTAGAAAACTACAGGAGTAAAAATGTTTCCTTATGAATAGAGTAAGTAACAGCTAAAACTACTCAATTTATGCTCTTGGGCAGCCTCTCGAAGTGAAGTCTTATGCAGTAATGTCTGCCCAGTTATCTGAAGACACTGAAGTAATAAATATTGGGATGGTCAAGTAAAATATGTATTGTAATCAATTCTTTCTAGAATTAATTAAAACGTTATTTTGATAAATACTTTGTAAGTTTGTATATGTTCTCTATATGCATGTTAGTCACCAAAAAAAGTCTTGTTTTTAGTGAAATTTATCTTCAAACCTTCCCCCAAATTTAGTCTATTTGTTACTTTTATAAGTTTGATTTGAAAATTGTAATGCTCACTACCTTCCTTGCAAGTTAGTTAGATTTCATTTCATTCAAGAAGTAAAAATGTGAAACAAAAAAAAAAAATCAAGGATATCAGTCTACATGTTCTTACAAGTACTTTCACTGTAATTATTTGGTTTTAGTAGCACTCAGTGTGTAAGTTGTAAGTGATATTTTTGTCTTTATTTTTAGGTACCTGGTTAACAACGAGTACTTGATTGAACAGGTGAGATATATGTTTAATATATTTTTCATTGGTTAACAGTTTTCTGGTACGATACTTCCTTCCTCTCACAAAATTAGCTATTCTCATTCAGTGCTGCCCTTTATATGCAAATTTTTTTCTTTATGCATGCCACAAGCCTTCTCTTACCCCATATTGGAATTGAATGATTTCAACATGTCTCTCATGTAAATCATCATGCATCACTTCTCCACCAATAGGAGTGTGACGTACTCACATGATGCATGTGACTCCCTCTATATGCCATTACTAAACTATCACTTCTTGTTTGGCAGCACTTGTGCTCGGATGTGTTCTTTTTTGTTTGTTTAAAGTTTCACGTTTGTTTTTAGTATACTCATGAAGTGGTCTTCATTTAACTTCACTTCTAGTTTCTATTAAGACTGTTTCTTAACTTCACTTTAATCCCAGTTTATTATAGTCTCATTGTTATTTACACTTTCGATTATTGGTTGACTTTTCCTCATTATAAATTCTCAAATTCATGTTACCACTTTGGGGATCACATCTGCTACTAGTGCTATGTCTCAGACCTCAGGTGTGGGCGATCCAGCAGGAGATTTATCCATGTTTATTCACCGGAAGATTCAATGTTACATGGGTCAACCTCTGTCTCTAGACCTTGCCCCACTTCCTCCCAAACAAGCTAAGCTTGTTCAGGTGGACGAAGACTTAGATTGTCTATTTCTACCTCCTGATTTTGCCGTGCCTTCCCATGCCCTGTCTGAGGAGTCAGTTAGGCTTAATATGGTCTTTTTGGATTTCATTTTTCAGGTATGTGATGTTTTATCCCTCTTCCCTATTTAGTGTGAACCGTGTCCTTCCTTACTACATGATCAATCATCCCATCCCTCTTTGGTTTTCCCCCTCCCCTGATAATGATGGACAATCTGCATTGGTGGTTGGACAAGGCCATATGTCGCTGGGTGTCCCACTTCCTCCTCCTCATCCAGATTTACATCTTTTCATCGATGCATCCCTTCAGGACTGGGGTGCATGGGTCAATCACCAGGAGGCTTCAGGTTGTTAGTTTGTAGATTGTTTTTGCATACCAATGTCCTCGAGCTTATCATAGTCTGTTGGGTTTTGAATCACTCCCTTCTTCTCACAAGACATTGTCTAGTGATGATTCATTCTGATAATTCTATGGTGGTAGTACATATCAACCACCAAGGAGGCAGCCATGCGAGATCTCTGTTTTCGATTGTTGGATCTACTATATTGGGCACACATGCACCACATTCATCTCATTGTGTCTCATGTTCTGAGTGCTTTCAATCATCGTAGAAAATTGTCTTTCTCGCCCCGACCAATATTTATCCGATGGAGTAGTCTTTAGATCCCCTTGTTTTCCGGTGGTTTTGCAATTGGTGGGGTTTTCTCCATGTAGATGCATTGCCACATACCTCAATCACAAGTTACTCCTCTTTTGGTCCATGGTACCTCATCCTTAGGCTCTGACTGTTAATGCCTTCAGCCAGGATTGGTCCCACAAATGTTTATCCTCCTAGCAGATTACTTAATCATGTGATCTCTCTCATCCTTACCACTCTGTGTCAAGTCCTTCTGATCACTCCTTACTGGTGAGCTCAACTGTGGTTTCCATGATTACAACAACTGCAACTTTGCCATCCAGTACTTCTTCCCTCCTTTATTCATCAACCTCAGTCACCAGTTATATATCCTAACATTCACGTCCTTCGTCTTCATGCCTGGTTTTTATCCAGTTCTTGGCTTTGAGATCAGGTTTCTCTCATCAAGTAGCTCTCCTTTTAGTTTGTTCCATACGTCCTTCTTCAATATAGGTGTATCAGCACAAATGGAAAGTGTTCCTCAGTTGGTCTGTGACTCAGGGATTCCCCACTGACTGATCTACTGTGGCTCAAGTGGCAAAGTTTCTCATGTGGCTTTTTTGACTGGAGGTCTTCGGTCTCCTTGCTCTTGGGTTATCAGGCTGCCTTATTCCATATCATCATTTTTCCCAATACCATCAAGTTTTTGCTTCCCTTGTTCTTACCATGTTAATGCATTCCTTCCATTCTTTGCCAGACTGGAATATTAATGTGGTCCTCCATTCTTTCACTTTACTTCCGTTTGAACCACTTTCCTCGTGTTCCATGTTTCATCTTTCCCTTAAAACGTATTTCCTTCTCCTCTTAACCTGTGGATGTCGAAGGTCTGATTTGTTTGCCATTGACATTTTACATACACTTTACCAACCTATCTATATTCTCCTTTATGTGGATCGTTCCCTTCTCCCAAAGACCTCGATGGCTAGGGAGGGTAACTTTTCCTTTTTGTCTATTTCCCTTCCTTTTATTTCTCATCTCTACCCTCGTCCTGATCTGGATAGACTTCTATGTCCAGTCCATACTCTTTATTGTTATATTGCCCTCATGGCTTCCTTCCATGGTACCTGTTCCCGACTATTTATCCCTTGGCAGTCTTCCTCTGTTCGGGTTCTTTCCCCTTCTACCCTCACCAATTGGGTTCGACTTTTCATTCGTTTGACTTATTCCTCTTTGTCTTCTTCCTCGTGGAATTTATTCCAGGTGTCTTCTCATCAGATTCAATGCCTCACCTTTTCCCTCACATCTCGTCTTTGTTGGCCTTTGGAGGAAATCCTACAGTTGGACATGTGGACTACACCTAATACGCTCATCTCCCATTATGTACACCAGGTTGCGGTTTCTTCTTGATCGGGTTTTCGTCTTCCACCTGTGGCTGTTCTTCAAGCTTCAATGCAACTTTGACTGGGTAAGTTTGTATTCATACTTTTCTTTCCTTTCAGGGGCCCTTGCTTCATTTACTCGTTATATGGATCCTGCTCTGTGGCAAGTGGTGCCTGACCAGATATTCTTCAACTTCAAATCTGCACTGTACAGCCATGTTGACTCGTGCTTTATCTTCCATGGCTTCTCATTGTTGAGATGGAGTGTTCCACAAGCTCGCTTGTAGGTGAATAACCTTGCAATTTAATTGCTTCATAAACTTGCATGTCCCTGACTGTACTGCCAATGGACTGCATGGGTAAAGCAGAAGGGGATAGCTGCCCATCCCTGCCATGCCTTGTATTGAATAAATCGGTTTCGTGGTCATCCATTGCACTGTCTCAGGTGATGACATTCCACCGGACTCTCCACCTTGTTCTTACCACCCTTTCTTCTAGTGGATTATGGGAGTCCTTACTACTTTCCAGTTCCAAGCCGCTGGGGTGGTCGACCATGGAGGCACTCTCTTGAATGGGTTCCACACAAAAATGGCTATAACCCTTCAATGCAGAGTAGGGCAGTGGTATTCTGTGGGTGTAGATGATGTGCTATCCTCCACAAAGGAGAGAAACGTCAAATTGCAGTTCACCCCTTCGATTGGGAGCCCTCATCCTACCCCCATGTGGATGTCAGTAACCCATGGCTGGGTTTTGGATTTAGAGTAGAACCAATCAACATAAGTCCTCACACATGTTTATGGTTGTTTATATTCCTCTCTCGAGGGGTCACAGTGGAGGTAAGGGGGATTGTTCCAGTTCTGTCCTTTTTTCTGTCCCTCATTGTATCTTATTTCGAGGATGTTATTGCTTTTTGGATGGTTCCGGTCAGTTTTGCTGTTGGGGAAGTTGATTTATATTATATAGACATCCTTCATGTGAGTATGTCATACTTCTGTTGGTGGAGAAGTGATGCATGATGATTTACATGAGAGACATGTTGGAATCATTTGATTCCAATAGGGGGGAGCAGAAGGCTTGTGGCATGCATAAAGAAAAAAAAATTCCTAAAGAAGGCAGCACTGGATGAGAATAGCTAATAGTTCGAAAATACATTTTCAATATAGGAAAATTATAACTTTTGTTCTACAAAAGATTTAATGTTAAAATCTGTTATATATATATATATTTTTTTTGCTTTTAACAAAACTTTATCTTTTAGATAAAAAAAAGCATGCATGCAAATTAGAAAACATATTTTATAAAGTTTTTTTTTTGACAGCTTAATACAACTTTAGTTGATTAATGCAGAGAATTGCTTGTTCATGTAGGAGGCATTTAGGGTTAAATTTATTGTATGATGCTTTCAGCTCAACTATTGAAATATTCATGGGTCAGTGAAATATAATCCATAAAACATCATTTTATCACAAAATCAGAATTTAAACAATCATGCATTTTGTAATACAACACATACCAGTTGTATTACTAGACATACATATGCATGTACACTGGCTGTATATTTCATTACATTTACAATGGTTTGTTCAGTAATAAAAATTTCATAGATATGTTTAAGGAAATGTAACTGTTTTTTGGTCTTAATGATTGCTATTTATCAAGCAAGCCATAACGTCTCTATTGTGGCTATCTTCAGATTAATGACTGCACAATACCCCCTCCTCCTCCTCCCCATAGCTTGGTAATAGGTTTGATTGGTTTTAACATTAAAATTCTAAGTTCGTTACCGCTGGTGGGTACAACAAATATCTATAGGTTATTGCTTGTGCAGCTTTGTCTTAAAAAGAAACAAAAATAATAAGGTTCTCTTATTATTTAACAACCTGAAGACAAGTTGAAAATTTACTCAATAAATACTGAATGTCAAAATGAAAATCAGATTGAATTGTTTTTCATTCTTAATTTACCCATATTAGCAACTTAAAATAAATATGTATAATTTGTTACATACTTTCTGTTGATCTATGACATGTTTATTGTTATCTTCTATGTGAGAATCTCTCATCTATCTTGAATAAGAAGTAAGACAGGAGATGAATTTACCATTATGGTCTGATTCCACTCTGTATTGCCTTCTGATCTTTCAAATGTTAGAAATCAAAAGAACAACTTGTATTATTAAAATATATTGTATGGCACTAAAATTTGCTTATGTTGAGAAATATTCTCATTTGTGTCATTTACTTATCATTTACTGATAAAAATTGTGTAACCAAATCTGATATTTTTTATGTTCTTGTGGCAAACAAACTAAAAAGTTCTGAGTTTTGTAATGTTCCTTTAGCATGTGTTTTTGGTAAAATAAGTCAGAGAACTGATGACTGTAACTAGACGTATAGATGTTCACTTATTTGCCATTAAAGGTATGCCCGTGTTGCTCTTTGTCTGTGCATAGGTTATAGGTGTTTGTACTTAAGAATATCCTGAACGTTAAGTTATAAATTTTAAGAAAACAAATTATGTGATTGAACTCCCAACAAAAAAATGCTCTAAGGGAAAGCAGCATACCAAAGTAGTCAATGAATCTTTATGAGACATAAAGAAACAAACATTTGACATCAGTTGTATATGCAAATACATGAGAAAACACTTGGAGTGCTATGGTTTCCATTCATAGGTTTTTTATATGACTTTTTTTGTTCAAAGCAGGGTGTTTTGACAGAGATTGCTTTAACCTTTTTTCAAAAGTAAGCACCAAGATTTTGTTTATTTAGATGAAGTTAATTTATATTGTAAGTTTTAACTTAAAAATTTAATTTTTGTTGGTTAAAATTCTATAAATTTTTCAAACTGTTTATCAGCAATTCACTAAGATTATTCGTGTATCTTAGTGTGTGTTTGACAACATTTTTTTTGTTATGAAAGTGTTATTTTTAAAAAATGAATGATAATATAAAAAATAAGAATTATTCTAGGTATTAGTAACAATGATATAAATACATAATTGAAATTGTTTTTATTTTCTTTAGCTTGCCAATTCCTATCCCATAAGGAGAGCAGCACAGTTAACTGCATATATTTTTACGAAAGGAAAATACATTGGTAAACTTTTTTTTTTGTGGTTCATAGAGCAGTTCTAAGTAACTTTTCATGAGAAAGATAAATAAGGAAAGTTAAAGGGATTTTCATAGTTAACATCATGGATATGATGGATAAATGTAATCTATTCAATAGCAAAATATTTTTTCCCAAGCTCCTAATATCTACCCATAGCTTTGATGTTGAAAGCAAATTTGAAATTGAATTATTGTATAACTTGGTGTAATTATGTACTGAAAAGATTTAATTTTGTAATCCAGCAAAAAAAAAATGTATAGTGTTTTTAAACTACAGTTTTTTTGTTTGTTTTTTATGTACAATAGGTAGAATGTAAGAGAAGGCTTGCAACTGACCTGAAAGGGGGAGGACAGGTTATGATAATGCATTTCTAGCATATGTGTGCATACACTTTAATAACGTGTAGCTTCTGATGATAACTTATGGCTTAAAATATTGCTATTAGTGAGTGTACACGATTGATGGATCAGTGCATTATAATCTTTAAAAGTTTTTGTGTACGACACAGTATACCCCTGCTTGTAGTTAGAATAGTATATTAAATTAGCTATACTAATTACACCATTAATTTTTAGTTCTGTGGAAGGATCTTGCTTTGATATGAAGTTAATGGTAATTATTTAGCAAGACCTAGCTTCACTTTGAAAGGAATTAAGTATCAGTTGTGTTTTCAAATTACACATGTAGTATGTATGCCAAGGAATGTCTATCTAATTAACTACATACACATACTGCAACATCTAGTCTCAGTAATAGTTGTAATGTGTGATTAAACTCTGACATATATTTTCGTCAATTTGTAAAAGTAGTCTTCATAAATAAACGTTCACAATTGTGTATGATATGATTATTAGAAACCAATAAAATTATTTTGGCAATAAAGTTAAAAAAACAACCTTTATTCTGTGGATATTAACAAAAAAAACTTTTTATTTCAGCCAACATTTATGTCATTGTGGCTTCAGCAAAGCTAATGATACAAGAACAATGATGTTTCAAAATTTTGCAGGCTTTTATGGCATTATTATTCTTTTTTATTTGTTGGAATTACAAATTCTGAGATGGTACCTTACCTTTTCACACAGAATAGCTATATTCCTTATACATCTGTCTATGAGATTTACATGCCACTAGCCTTGACCCAACTCTCACCTAAGATTCACATGTTTAACATGTACTGGTGCATGATGACATTATATCAAGTTTTCCAAATCCTTTCTCATGTTTACAGAGTATTTAGTACATCTGGGCATTTTTCTTCAACTCTCATCTCATTTGGGCTCAGCCTTCACCTTTTTGCCTTTATGTTATGGAATATATGGTCTCCAAGGTTTTTGCTTTTCATTTTCATCCTGTGCAAGAGTTTTTTAACTTTTGGTGACTGGCTTTCCTAGAACCACTCATTTCCTTTGGGGGTGCAAACGTTCCTCCTCCAGTGGACTATGCAAGACCTGTAGAATATGTCTCTGGATCTGTTGTTTGCAATTGTGAACCTTCCTTCCTTCTCAAGGAATTGTCTTGATGGCTTGACTGTGCCAATACCATGTTTGGCATTTCCTTACCACCACCCTGACCAGATCTCCATCTTTTCACAGACACTTTCCTCTTGGGTTGGGGCACATCTCTGAGTGACAATGTAACTTCTCACATTTGGGCACAGGAGAAGAGTTCACTCCACATAAACATGCTCAAACTTCTCATTGTTCATCAGCTATGTTCTCATGTCCTACCTCTTCTATTGGATCAGTTGGTCATGATCCACTCCTAACATTTCCATGGTCACTTCTTATAGCAACCATTACAGATGCATTTGTCACTTCTCTCAGCTCCAAGTTTCCTCTCTTCTGCTCCCAAATTCCTTATCCTTTGGATCTAGCTGTTGATGCTCTCAGCCAGTACTGGTTTCACCTTTTTCTGTATGCCTATTTCTGACACTCCATGTGGGATCCTCTTGGTGGTGCCTCTTTGGCCACCTCAACCCTGGTTTTCTCTACTTCTTTGATTGGCATCCAAATCCCCTCTTCCTTTATCCAGTATCCCCACTTTATTGCTTCAACCTCACATGTCACTGTTTTATCCAGGGGTATCATGCTTTCATCATAACATGTGGGATTTGTCCAATCCATTGCTCTTAGGCCAGACTCTCCAATTGCTTAGCCTTTTTCTTATCCCATTCATGTGTTATCCCTTCCACTTTGTCTGTCTATCAACAGAAATGGTGTTGTTGGTCTATTTGCCACTCCTTTCCTCTTAGCTGTCCTGCTGTTACAAACTTTTTTGCATTTTTCATGTGGTTTGCTGGTCTCCACAATCGCTGGTTATAGGGTGGCTTTATCCATTACCTTTCCTGTTATCATAGGGTGTTTTCTTCCCCTGTTCTCTCCACTCTATTACAATCATTCTTTCTTCACCAACTCCTATACATGAGTGGGACCTTAACTCTTTCTGTGTGGGCTCGGTCCCTGGGAACGACCTCATAATCATACAATCATTCTTTCTTCACCAACTCCTATACATGAGTGGGACCTTAACTCTTTCTGTGTGGGCTCGGTCCCTGGGAACGACCTCATAACCATTTTGTGCTTGTTATAGTTTTCATGCTATAACTTTTAAATTAGTATCTTCATGAAATTTGGCAGATTATCAGTAAACATTCCAAGGCTTTCATACACAAAATATCTGATATTTTTATTAAGTCTTAAGGTTTGTTAAGCAATGTTTTTCTCATGCCTTTTTTCTTTTTTGCATGTTGCCTATCCAACATGCAAAGTAATTTTCATTTTAAAATTAAAAAATACTTTTATATACACCTGGAAAAAAGTTAAGCACCCCCGTG